CATAGAAAATAATCAGAAACACTTTATTTTACATTGCAAAAATAACCATGTAATTACTCTGTAACTACATTGTAAATACATGGCTGGTGCCATGCTAGTGCGCTAGAACTACATGCTTGGTAAATTGAAGTGATACCCTAAAACCTGTAAACTAATTACATGTTAATTATGTTTGAGTTACATGGTAACTCCCAACTACAATCCCATGTAATCTGAAGGACATGTAATCATAAAGTTCAGAGTAATAGATAATCATTGTTTATGCCCTGGAAAGAAGTGGAACCAAATCATCTGTAAACACGCTTGTCACACAATCACAAGTAAATATTAGCAGAATAACAATTTCTTACATTAGTCATGCATACTAACATTACAAACCTGTCCTGTGGCAGGAGATTTTGTTTTATTATATAGAATTTAAAAGAGCAGACATCTCTGAATCAAACACATAACATCAATTAATTAAGATTAAAAATGGTTAAACATTCACCCAAAATGTCTGCATTTTATGAATAATTTTAAAAACTTAGTAAGAAGCTGTAGACAATTTTGTTATTTTAAATTTCTACCCTATGCTTATGCATTTAATTTTTTTTTTAGGAACTACAGTGTTATCTTGTCATTTTCATGCGAATTTTTTTCATTAATTTGTGACTTTACATAGACTATTTCTTAAATTATAGGTACACCAATAGCTGGTGCTGGGGAAGGCTGTTTAAGCAACATGCTTTCTCTTCTCTGCAGACTCTAAAATAGCATTGCCAGTGCACAACATTCATAATTTAAAATGTATGCAGAGCACTGAAATGTATAAAAAGCAGAATATAAGAAAATAAAATTTATTAAAATTATTTATATTAAAAAATGAAGTATATGAAGATCTCTCAGTAATAAAAGTACAAAAAGCTACTCTTTGCAATATGAAAAATTGAGGTATTGCATAAAGAGATATCCCGTCAGTGAAAAGTGTGCCTAAAAATGTTCACTGTTGGAAAAACAAGATATACAAAAGTAGTGCATAACAAATATACATCATGTGCATGACAAAATAAGTTAGCTACAAAACACTGTACCGAAATTCAGCAGGTCATGTACAAAGGGAAAATTATTCAAAGCTAGTTCTCAAGCAGTGTTATTTCTTAACTCATCACGCCTGTTTACTGGGTAGGAACAGCACAACAGCACACCCCAAGCCACCTACAAGCAGTAAAGAAAGAGAAAGAGGCAAATGAACATTCCAATTAGAATCATGTAGTTCAGGAGAAAAGAAAATCCGTCCCTGACCAGCTACACGAGAGCACCCTCCATTTGCACAACTGCTTTGCTGTTTTGTTAGCAGGGGAGTCTTGGACAGCGGCTCCCTCTTCCTGTTGGACTCTAGACAGCAAGTGCCTCCATTTTGACCTTTGGAACTTAACAGGTGTAGTTCATTAAAGCCTGTGTTAAAAATAAAGGGCTGCTTTTCCTACAGACATCAGAGGGGTCACCAGCCAGGCGGTGACCCAGCACTGCGGGGCAAGTCTTTGGTTCTGAAGGATCCAAGATGGTACTGTTAGGCAGCACAGCTAGCAAGCCCGCACTGAGGCTGCTGCTGTTAATGCTTTGCACACTGATAGTAATCCTTTGAACTACGGTAGGGCATTTAATAAGAGAAAGTCAATTAAATGAAAAGTTACTTCCATGACCAGGGCTTCAAGAGACTAGTTTAAATTTACCTCTGAAGCATACTGTTCAAAACATAAGAACACCTTTCAAAGCTAGGGTGTATTTATAATAAAGCATGCATTACTTGATGAAGTTGGCACTTCAAACACTATGTCCCATGCTAAGTTCGGAAAGTGTATGTTATTGTACTTTATAGGAAGAGTAAGATAAACATACGGACTTTTGCACAGATTTACACAATTACTTAGTTCAACAGTGCAAAACACTTTGCAACTACTTGACTTTTTTTTTAAACCTTCCCCCCCACCCACATTTTCTATGTTACAACTAAATTACAGGATTCCAAAGTAACTTCAAATGGAAAACAAAGCCAATGGGCAGCCAATTTGTATGCTTTTTTTTTCTTCCAGTTTTGACTACAAGTGTAGTGTAACACAAAGTCAAAAACAATATCCTTGAGGTATGTCTAGATATGTTGTTTTTCAATGTCAAAATGGAGAGCAAAGGCTGACAGCTGATGACTTAGTAAATTAGGATATACAGTTTCTATATAACAACAAAAATAAAATTTATGCATTTGTTCTTCTGTTTCCCACCAGATATCATTAATTCTAGCTTTGGTAGGTTTCCTGGGGCTGTGACTGGGAAGTCAGTTAAGTAAATAAATGCACTCCCCTCAGTAGTAAAGCCACCCAATTCTTACATTCGGAATTTTAAGAATTATTCCAAAGAAAACAAACTCAGCTCTGCCTGCTTATTTATTTCTGATGTATGGTGCATTTGAGGCATGATCAAACCACACTCAGCCTCAAAGCCCTTCTGGTTACTCTGCTCACTCTTGCTCATCATTTGCTCGTTCTGACATACTCTTTCCTGTTAGTAACTGTTAGCTTCCTCCATTGCTGTTAAAGAATGAAAAGGGACAGAAAAGATAAGGAATCAAAGAAAAGAAAGGAAACGGCAAGAGCACTTCCCTGGGGGAGACTGTGTCAGAACAGACAATAGTGTTACTGTTGGTGGTTATTTCAATAGAGTATCTTATATGTTATATCATTACCAGAAATTAAAAACCCAAAATATTATCTCATTTCTCTGTTAATATTTCTCTCCTTTAAGAAAATGCTACAGCAAGTTTGGATCCTCTTGGCCTCCAGCAAAACAAGAGAATTAAAACTTACATGCAACATGATGGCGATATGAAAAAGGAGTTTAAACATACTGTTTGTAGTGACACGAGAGTCTACAAAATACCTATGTTGTAGGTTGTTCTTTTCATTCTACTACTGTTAGTTACACACTGCTACACAGGACATGCCAGCGTGAAGAGGCTGAGGAAGGGTTGGAATTAACAGAAGAGGGCACTTCTGAGGCCTGCAAATGAGCTCCGGAGTCATTCGTCCTTCAGTTCCAGCGGAATGAAATATGCCGAGGGCGGTCACCACCTTCCTTCACCAGGGGCTTGTGGAATTCCCTGCCAGCACGAGAGTGAATAGCAGCCCAGCAATATTCACAGTAATACTGCAGACAGGTAACATTAGCACAGAAAAATGGAGCAAATTTCCCCCCGCAACGGGCCCCCTGACATTCATCACACAGCTGGTCATCCAGGACATATGGCTTAACCTCCACCTGCAATGGAGAGATAAAAAGGGAGTTGTCACATTTCAGAACCATGTGCAAGTGTGCTTTTATCCTGTGCCTCAACCTACTTGTGCCAAGGTGTCACAAGGGAAGGGGCAGTGATGCACTTACTGAAATGAAGATCATCCATTTTATCATAAGATGTTTATATCTATCTTCTTACATACTTGTCATATTAAAATAAACTTTCAAACACAAAATCAAAAGAAGAATTTTATCAGAAATCATAAAGTAAAACCAACTGTATAGAGTATTATGAGATTAAACTCTCAGGAGGTTTTCCTCAGAAACCCTTGTTTTAATTAGTGGATCTAGTTTTGTTTTTGTTTTTTTTAATCACTACTGGAATTACAATTTAAACAAAACCATCTAAGCATACTGTAAGGGTTAGTGGGCAAGAAGATGGCTGTTTTCTGCTTCATGAACTTCTGAGAGGTAGCTAAGCCTGGCTGGTGGTTTAAGTGTCCATAGCTGGTACTCTGGTAAAACATGATGTGGCTGTGTTCCTCACAGCCTGAAGCCTCACTTTGTTCTTTGTCAGTGAGAGTGGTTTACCTGAATCTAAAAGTGAGAGGTGACTTTATAGAACTGGGCTGTTCTAACATGCAGTAGGCCCACCATCATCTGGGCCTCTCAAGCATTAGAATAACCTGTTGTTAAATAACCAGCTACAACAAGATTGGTTATGGCAATAACCAATGGCAGACTCTTGGATAAAACTCCCTAGCAGCACTTGTAGAAGATGGGGAAGGGCATCTTTAAGCCCCAGACTCGAGAGGGACTGAACACTGACCCAGGGATTTCACTACAGAGGACCAAACCTAAGCATCTGTAATGATACACCCCAACTCTGAAACCCACATTGACAGGAAGTGTGAATGAAGAGCAAGCAGGCATGTGACATGTGACAGCAAATCCTACCCCTGTCCTGTAGCGACAGCCCAAGCTTTCTCTTTATTTATACTAGTGAACGACCACTGACATAGAATATACATGGTCTAAAACAGTAAGCACAACCCACCACTGACTTGCTTTTATAGATCATAATAAGAATAGCACAATAAAATAACCAATGAAGACTTCAAATTATAACATCACAGAGTGCTGGATTCTAGTGTCAGCCCCAAGGGAAGTGTCTGTGTATCAAACACAGGTGCACCACTTGTAGAACTTTCCAAACACAGTCCAGGACTTACCCGTTTATCTATCTCTCCATGCTGTAGCTGAACAAAGCGGGCACTGATAGCAGCTATGTAACTCTGTTGATTAGAAAATGCGACCCGTCCAGCTCCTTTTGGGTATTTGAGCTCAGGGTCAGTATCGATCCCAGCATAGCAGACGCCTCCATACAGCCGATCCATTATCATCGCAAGCTCCACTAAAAAGAAAGGAGCAGAGACACTTATAATCAGAAAGACTTATCTGGCTCACACCTCAACAAAACAAAGTTCATGTGACCTCTGAGTTTGCATCATCATTAATATCAAAATTATAACAATAACTTTTTTGCTTGAAAAGGGTGAGTGTTTATTCAGCCAGCAGGCTGGTTGGTTTACAATGCTTCCTCTTAATTTTCACAACCTATGAAATAGGTGTAATTTTCTGAAAAACTGAGGCCCAAGATGATTGGTGTGTCACAGGTGACAGGCCCAGGCCTGGCACCCACATTTGTCTGCTCTGGGCTGCACTGCTGTCATATCTATACTGGTATTAGTTACTATTAATTGAACATTAGAAAAGTAACTGGTGGATTCTTTGGGAGCCCTTCTGACCCCCCTTACCATCTGGTACCTTTGCTTATATCTAATTATTCACTAGCACATCTTGCATTGGCTGCTTTTTTCAGAGGACCCATGTTTGATTCCCAGCACCCACATGGCAACTCACAACCGTCCGTATAACTCAAGTTAAAGGGGATCCAATGCCCTCTTCTTGCCTCTGGGGGCATTGTACACACATGGTGCACAGACATACATATAGGCAAAACACCCATGCACAGTAAGATAAAAATAAATAAAATTAAAAAAAGAGTTTGAACATAGGGTGGACAATGCTTCTGCCAGAAGACAGTGACTAGGGAATGAAAATCTCAGTGCAGGCTTGTCAAACCTCCTGTGTGTTACTGATCAGTGACATCCAGAGGTCCACTAAACAACACAGACTGTTGTCACTGCTCTAGGGTTGCCCACCATAACTAGATTGTGGAATAGACAACATACTGGCTAGTTTTTATAGTGCCAGAAGGTGCTATGAAGGCCAATGGGAGAAAAAGCCATCAATAGTATCACACAGCAATGAGCTCTAGATGCTACTATACTGTAACCTGACAGGTACTATGTGCTCACTGGTGCTCAGTAGTAGCACAAGGGTAAGGGGGTAACAAACTGATTTTTGATTGGATTTGAGGCCTTTTCCACAGGAGGGAATTCATGCCTGGTAGTGTAAACCTGGGGAAAAGACACTGTTGTCTTGCTAAGTGTTGTCAAATGTCTCTCAAAGTTTACTTATACACATGGATTAGTGTGGCCCTCAACCAGAGAAACCTGGCTCTTAGGTGGGCAGCAGTCAATGCAGAGACTTGTAACTGATCAAAGTGAGGAGAATAAGTGACTGTTGAGTGCTCAGTCCTAAACGAGACATCTAACCAACTGTCCCCACAAGGCTCAGAGAACATCACTGAAGAGGAGGTAGAAAGAATATAACAACAGGAGGAGGGGAAGATCACTATGCAGTGCTATCTCCTGACAGGACATGGCCACTGCACTTGTGAACTCATTGCAGTTGTGGTCACCTTCACAAGATCACCCCAAGAGCAGCCAGCCCCAAGTAGACTCTGGGTTACAAAATAAACGAGAGAGAGAGAGACAGAGAGAGAGAGAGAGAGAGAGAGAGAGAGAGAGAGAGAGAGGAAAGGACATGGAGGGAGGAGGGGAATTCAGTGGAGGTGCCTGGGGAAAGCTGGGGTAAATATGATCAAGATACATTGTTCACATATGTGAAACTGTAGAGAATAAATAAAAGATATTCTATTTAAAAAATCTGAGATAGTGATAGTCTAAAAACATGCTGGACTGAAGTTGTATTTAGGAGCTCAGTAAACAGCTGCTGAGAAACTGAGGACATGGGAAATAAACACTGTACATCTCAACATACAAAGGGCTTTAGATTTCAAAATAAATGACAAACAATGATTAGCATCTTACAGTACTACACCTAAGCACTATGCGTCAGTTATTTCACTTAGTCCTCAACTCTATAAAGTATATGCACTTTTGATTTCATTTTATAGATGGGAAAATTGATTAGGAAATTTACATAATTTGTCCAAGGTTGTTCATCTATTAGTAGGAAACAGAACACATTCATTCTAACCCAAAAACTTGGATTCTAGTACTCTCTCTTGCACATTAACTCAAACCTCATGGAATATTTCAGCTGAAGATCTTTATATTTCATATGCTAATGATACAGGGATTTTGTCTGTTTAACTATACCAGCTCGTAATGGTCGAGGAACACCACCAACAAATATTGTTTTTCGTGGGTCAAGCGGCTGTGAACCATCCATCACAAAGTCACTGTCACTGAGATTCCAGGGTCGAATTTGCACCTAAGGAATGTGTAAACCAAAATGCTCATATCAAAAAAGTTCAAAATTATTACAGAGTATTTTACAATAACCCATTTCATCACAAATCAATAAAGCTGTAAAACTAAAAGGCTTAAAAACTGCCTTCTCTACCCTGCATTTCAGAGTAAGAGCATTCCATGAATTTTTTATTTACTATAAGCCAAATCCCTTAATACACCCATACATCCTTAATTACCCACAAGTTAACTATCTGCTTTTCAGTTTACTGGGACCTCTGTTTTGCCCATCCTTATAAGATCTACATAATTTGAATTTAAATAAAATAGGACTGAGCATATTTCCAGTAAATGCAAGCTTACCATTGATACTAATGAATCTGTTATATTGTTTCAAAAATTATTTCAAAGTAAAAATATTGCTAATATTTGCAATTTTTTTTAAAAAGATGTATTTATTTTTATTTATTTGGGTGCTGGGAACTGAACCCAGGTCCTCTGCAAAGCTAGCAAGTGCTTTTAAACACTGACTAGTTTGATAAACACTTTAGTGCCCATTAGCCCAATCAAGAATAATGTACCTAAGCCAGGCCTGTTTGTGCAGTCTTGTACATCCTATGTACCAGTTTGATTTCTCCATGTCATGTGAGTGTGTGACATCTTTAGCCATTAAGGTTTTACCATCAAGTTTTTGTGGTAGCCAAGAGCAATGGCAGTAGTCTAGGATATATCCTAAACCTGGCATTGAGCTTTTTGTCTGATGACCCAAGGCTTTAGGTGGTATCACTTTCCCTCTGTATAATGTAACTCTAATTCCCTCCTTCTCAATGTCTCTCTATGTATGTATGTATGTATGTATGTATATATGTATGTATGTATTTATATGTATACATACACACACAACACACTCAAGCTTACAAAACAGTAGGATTCCATGTGGTTTTTCATATACCTGCAATGTCAGTTAGCCCTCCCCAACTCCTCCTCTGCCCTACTCTCTAATCCTCTTCCTTACTTAAACCTTCCCATTTACAGCCTAAAAGGTGCTTTGTAGGCTGCTGGGGAAGAAAAGTCATCAATAGCTGTGAACTCTGTGTGGCGAATTTGCCCATTGGTGTAATAGCGGCATGAATGTTATGGGAGTAACCAACAGCTTTCTATTGGACATAATTATGACCTACTTCAGAAGATACAATTCATGTATGATACCATTAGCTGGGCAAGAAACTGTGGTTGGGTAGGTCATTGGTTCTAGAGGGGAACCTACTATTACTTTGCTAAAGGGACATAGTATCAAACTGCCTTCTAAATTTTTATCCTTCTACCCATAGACTAAGCATATTTCACTGCTCATCAGAGAGTTTCTTCATGCAGTGGATGACGGTTAATACAGAGATTCACAACTGGTCAAAGTACAGAGAACATGTGACTGTGGAATGTTCACTTAAATGGGATATCTATCTCATACTCCCTTATCCAAAAGGCTCAGGAACATTGAGGAAGAGGGAATGGAAAGATTGTAAGAGCTGAGGTTGGGGAGGATGCTGAAAAATAGTGTCTTCATAAACTCACAGCACCTGTGGTTACCTGCACAAGATCAAGCCAGTCACAACTCCAATATTGGTAGGGATCCCATAGGGTCCCAATGCTTTTGGCAAGTGGTGGCTGCTAGGGGAGGGACAGTCAGTTTTCTTCAGTACTTTGACCCATAGTTGGTTGACCATGCTCTAGAGGATGGCCCTACACCCATGCACCTATATATATGGAGAGCACTAGTTGGACTCAGTAAGTTATTAGAAGGAGGATGAAGGGGGGATGGAGGGAAGAGGAGGAAGAGATGTAGTCAGAAGAAGGATGTAGTGGAGGGATGTTTTCTAAAAGCTAGAGGGGGGATGGTAGGGGATCTAAGTACATTGTATTCATTTATGAAATTACCAAAGAATACACAATAAAACCTGTTATATTCTGTTTTCAAACATATAAATTTAAGTAGAAAACATTTAATTTAAGCAGGTGAGTGGAAACATAAACCAAAGGAAATTTTATGCTAAACTAAACTTACTGGTTTATCCTTGATGGTTGGACTTGATACACACAGGTAGAGTTTTCCATCTTCTTCAATGCATGCATCTATGAGAGCCTGGACAGAACTTTCATCTTGAAACAGCAGGAATGCATAGCCTATGGCAGGAGGAACAACAGAAAGTAAGACTTACAGGCTTTCCTGTCGTTGTCATACATGAGATACAAAAGCTTAGAAGTAAAATTAAGGGAAAATAATAGAAAAAATGAAAAATTAAAACAATATTCCTACTAAAAGTTTGAGTTCATTTTAGAAGTATCTTCTTTAACTCTCTCTCTCTCTCTCTCTCTCTCTCTCTCTCTCTCTCTCTCTCTGTGTGTGTGTGTGTGTGTAGATCATGCATGAAGGTCAAAGGTCAACTTGCAGGTGCTGGTTTTCCTAATTCATCTGTCCAGAGGAACAGAACTCTGGTTGTCAAGTGTGGCATAAGTACTGAGACTTCTCACCAGCTCCATTTGGTAGTGTCTAGAAACATCTTTGCAATGTGTAATTAAAAATTGAATTAAAAGTATATTAGGTAGAAAATTTTAAAACACATTTAGAAAAATATAAATTTAACAATAAAAACTTTTGCAGTGAAAGTAAATATTTATGAAAATGCTCAATATTAGACAATCTGAGAATAAAATGTACTTTAATGATTAGAACCTCAAGAATTACCTTTTGGTGGAAAATAAGATTTGCTCTCTGCCTTATGAGGCCAATCCACAATCAAAGGGCCAAAGCGACGGAAACTAGCTGTGATCTCATCTAATGAAAAATGACAAAAGTAGATTTAAATGTATCAGTTTTAGTAGTTTTTTAAAAATTACTTTATTGCAATGAAGTCACAAGTAAAACCTCTCCAAAGCCACTCAAACAAATAAGTGCCCACTTCTAAAGTCTACATATCTCAGTGAACTTCTAAACAGTCAGAATACACACATTGAAGCTGTGAAGCTTCACTCGGGGTTTCAAATTTTCACTATCTGGCTGGAGATATGGCTCGGCTGTTAAAGAATAGGCTCACAATCAAAATTTCAGTATCAATTATATTTTTATGTACTTAGCCAGCACATAAGGAAAAAAAAGAAAAAAGGAAGAAAATATGACAGGTAAAACTAGAAAACAATTAGCTATCTTCTTTCAAGACTCATGTGTCCTTTACCTACATCCTATGTTTCCTCATCTCCTGATATCACCCTTTCTTACTCTCCCTTTAAATAAAAATCTATCTCCAACAACAGTGTGAAGAGCTCCTGTGTGACTTCATGTACTCAGCACATTCAGGACTCAGCACATCTGCCTCGAATTTCTTCTTTTCCTCTTTCTCTCTCTAGTTAGATACATATATGAATCAATTTATCTATCTATCATCTTTTACTGACATTATGCTTTATGATTCCAAAACATTATCATTGGTCTCAGCTCAAAGCAAGGTTGCTTTCTTTTATATCTCTACCTGTAGCTTCCACAGTCAGAAAATCAATACTGATACAATTACTCTCCAATGCTCAGAATCCATTCAATAACCCAACAAGGTCTTTTCCTTTATTTTTGATCAAGAATCCCATCCAGAGCACATGCTCGTTAATTGTCACATCCCTAAAGCATTAGACTTTTTCAGTTCTTCACAGTCTTTCTACATCAGTGGTTCTCAACCTGTGGGTCAAGACCCCTGGGTCAGATAACCCTTTCACAGGTGTCACTTAAGACCATCTGCAGATCAAATGTTTACATTATTATTCATAGCAGTAGCAAACTACAGTTGGGAAGTAGCAACAAAAATAATTTTATGGTTGGGGTCACCACAATATGAGAAACTGTATTAAGGGATTGCAGAATTAAGGTTGAGAACCACTGTTCTATAGTATGCTAATATGGAAATAAATGTTTGTGCATTCCATCTTGCAAATCTCTATGCTGAAATAAAATCCCCAGTGTGAAAAGAACTTAGAGGAGGAACCTTAGGTAGGTGACTGGGTTATGGGGTAGAAGCCTCAACAATAGTATCAGTTTAATACTTTCATTCATGTAAGAGGGCTCAGAGAGGTCCTTTGTCACCTCTATCATGTGGGCTAACAATGATGGTTATTATCAGAAGGCTTATTGGGAAGCAGGCACTTGCACAGGCAAGGAACCTCCTATTGCTTTGACCTTGAGCTTTCTAACCTCCAGAATGATGAGAAGTTCCTCGTGTTGATGAGCAACGTGGTCTATGGTATTTCAGTCTAGCATTGACTGTGTTTGGGTTTGTATTCTGCTTCCTCGTGACTAGTTTCATGCTGTATATCCCAGACACAACTACCACCAAATGATACTGTGTCACTTCATCTTTTAATTAGACACAATTGATCTTGGTCACTTGGTTTTTCTATCAAGGAGAAGCCATTTTCCTCTCTTTGCAAGGAATACTGTGTTATCTATTAGCATTCTGCTGCATTTGTTGTGCTTTCTATAAGAAGGCACCCACTGGTACATATGTAACCACCATGGTAGCTGCCAAATGTTGGTGATCTGTTTCCACTGTTCCATCTACATTTGCTCATCAGTGTTACACAGTATGGAAGAGCTCTGCTTTTTCTTCTAGTTATTTATTATATCCACACACACCTACTTCACTCAACAGGTTGTAATATTCTAGTTCTCTATTTTGATTATCTATCTATCTATCTATCTATCTATCTATCTATCTATCTATCTATCTATCTACCCACCCACCTACCTTCTCTCCTTCCTTCCTTTCCCTGAGAGGGCCAGTGGGAGCCCCCAGGACCTTCTGACCTTTCCCTGTCATTTTAAAATCACTTCCAGGCTCAGGAAGATATTCTATCATATCTTTTTTCCCTGCCTTATCTCTATATCATGTCAACATATGAAATGCTTTTTTATAAAGCAGTCTTGGTTCCTTTTAGTAGCAAAAAGAAAACCCCATATGCTCATAGAGATATTCATTATTTCCAAGTCTTTTTCAGTAGACAAAGGTAGGAAATAAATACACATGTAAACAAACATGTTTATAACTTTTTATGTATTACAAAAACCAACACACAAATTTTTATATTTTCAATGCAACTCCAACATCTCTTGAGTTATCCTATCCTTGTTCCTTCCCTTGTCTTAAGCTTCCTCCAGCTGTACAACAGTACAGTCTGTTCTGCTATGCCTGTTTCTGTACTATTTAGCTCAATGAGACTGATTTACAGGAGACTGCTGCTAGGCTAACTTGTAAGTTGTATGGTTCATAAGATTTTTTCCTGAGCAAGGTAAGCTAGATGGTAAGAACAGAACTAACCCTAACCCTCACTGTGAAAGGAAAAGCCTTGGCTTGAGTGATGCAAAGTGGGAACCCTCTCAGCTCCAGCTTAAGAAAATCAAATCCAAATGTAACAAGCAAGGATCTCTTGCCAGAGAGGAGGACCCCAGCCTCGAGGGTTCCTGGCACCCTCTCAACTGCTCAGTGGTCCATCTTTATTTACCACATTTCCATGACTACAAGCTAGCATTTCAACTTTGTTGTTTTAGGGGCATTGCCACAGGACAGTGGGACTGTCCAAGTTATGTCCCAGTATTAATTCTGATTTTGTTTCTGTTTCAGGTACAAAGCTTATTCAATTTCAAATGATATGCCTCTCATTCCATGTCCCATAGAAACTCTGTAATTTTTACTGCACAATTCTCCAGCTCTGTATTCTGAGGGTGATAGGGAGAATGGGTGTGAATGGAATTGAAATTTCAGCAGTTTTATCAAGAGACTTATCAAGTGTGTTTGTTATAATCTTCAACCTTTTAGAAGCTTGATAAACTTGATCTCAGTCTAAATGACAAATGAATAAATATTAGATCGTACAGACTTTTACAGAAATCTATTATATTCTCTAGAATATGAATTAGTCTATTTCAACTTCCATTCAGAAAAATCAAGACAAAAGAAACAAAGTATCCAAGGCTGTATGATTGCTGGATGGTCTGCCACTATGATTTTTATTAGAGTCACTGAAATAAGGAAATGAACTCAATTATTACTGGGTAACTAATCCCTAAAGGTCCTTCTATGGCTCAACACTGATTCAAGTCTTAGCTCAAATATTGCTTCCTTAAAATGGGTTTCCTTAGCTACCCAATCTAAAAAGACTGTTTGCATGCTAGACCCCATAACACTGTTTGCATTCTAACACTGCTCACTGATACTTCCTCTTATGCTTACATAATTTTCATGCACCTTCCCCCATTAAAATGTAGATTCTGTTTGAAATTTGCAGGAAAATGGATGGAACTAGAAGAAACCATTCTGATCGAGGTAACCCAATCACAAAAAGACAAACCTGATACGTAGTCACTCATATGTGGATTTTAGACATAAAGTAAAGGATTACCAGCCTACAATCGATACTGCCAGAGAAGCTAGTAAACAAGGAGAACTCTAAGAGAGACATACAGGGTCCCCTGGAGATGGGGAAAGGGTCAAGATCTCCTGAGCAAATTGAGAGCACGGGAAGGGGGGGGGGTAGCTACGAGAATGAGAAGGGAAGAAGAGGAAGGATGCAGAGGTCATGAGGGAGCAGAGAGGTTGAGTCAGGGAAAGAATAAAAAAAAAGGATACGTGATAGGTAGGTTTTTAGTTGGGGGGTGGTGGTAGGAGAGGACAGGAGGGAGAAGGGAACTGGGATTGTCATGTAAAACAATCTTGTTTCTAATTCAAATAAAAAATGATTAAAAAAAAGAATGTAGATTCTGTAAATGGACCTTCTGTAAACAAGCCCAAGAACAGTACAGCTGTTTAGAGGACATTTAAATGCTTGCTGAATGAAAAAAAAAATATGTCTTATAGTACAAGTATAGACTATATTTTTTAAAAGTTCATGCTTAATCTAAAATTTGAGAACAATGAAAGGTAGCAAAGGGAAAAAAAACCCAAACTCAATAAAACTGGACAAAACGGAATAGGGCACTTAAGTCTAGGCTGTCCACAATAGACTCCTTGGGAAATCTGCTCTGGGGTCTTCCCTTGTTCCACTGAATTTGGTCATTGCTTCAGCTTATCCCACAATCCTGCTTCTCTTCCTTTCACAACTAATCTTATGGTATGATAGGATGACAGGACAAGAGAACAAGGTGAACAAGACTGGAGTCAGAGCCAGGTAAGACAGGGATTATAATAGCAAACACTCAGTACAACTTCCCCTTGACCACCATGTGGCATGCTGCTTCAAACAGTACTTCCTGAATATACCTTCATCAATGTCAGGAGGCAATCCACCCACGAACACCTTGCGGGAATATCGTTCCACTCTCTCCCCATTCTGGTGAGTAAAGCAGTGAGGTGAACCCAGGCCACTATGAAGAGGTTGATCCCCACGGCCATCATCCAGGAATCCATCTTCCATCGGAAACAGTGAAGACTGACCTGAAACAGAAAGCAGAATAGAAAGCTAATAGAAAGGGCTCCTTGTCACCAATTACCATACACACCAAGGAAAAACATGAGTTGATAAAACTGCTGCTTTTATTTGCTCACTACAGGATGACTTATGCTCTGGAACTGTTACCACCTTAAAGTCTACTGAATCAGAGAGACTGTATTTGGTTAATAGAGGGCTACTCAAGTATCCCACAGAAATCCAGAAGCTCCAGCACGTGAAATGGAAGCACAATAGAGGGGAACACTCTTTTTGAAAGCTGTTGGCAACAGACTGCACTGCCTTGGCAGTGCCCCATGGCAACCTACACAAGGACAGAGATCATTAAATTTGGCTATAAAATGCTGGTCACATAAATTTCTTTAATAGACCAAATTGTATAGCCTCTGCATACTTTTCTAAAAATGTACTTAAAATGAGCAAGTCAATTTTAAGTGTGTACTCATTACTTATTACATTAACTAATATGATATATCAAAGCTGACTTAATGTTGGTACCCAATTCAGTTTCTAGTCTTACAGCATTTAAAGATCTGGAGAAATGCTAAAGACATATTAGCTGAGTGATTATCAGCTTACCAAGTATGTCATCTGTTTTAGAAAACTTCTAAAAACTCAAACTCCTGTCCTCTGGAATACATAGGAAAGGAGAAAAGACTAGAAATACCAATGTGCATAAGTCTTCCCATACTTACCTGGCAGGGAAACACAAACATCTAGAATATAAGCAAAGCATAGAGGTGCAGAGAACTGCAGTTTCTCAGGCTTTCCCCTGCTCAGGCTGCTATTTGCTTCTAGGTGCATTCTGAGTAACTGTCAATTGTACTCTAGAAATGATCTCTTCTCTTCCTTTATTGGAACTCTCAATGCCCTTTGGTTGCCACAGTTACTGTAACTCTCACTCTTGAGCATAGACAACAGTGTCTTTGTCACAAATTCATTCTATATGCTATTAGTAAATTATGATCCAAAATGATTCTACAATTAGAGATTATTTTCTGAAAGATATTTTATCACATTTTAAATCTAAATGATTTGATGATTTTATTTTATTATAAAATAGCAAAGTGTTACTGATAAGAAAACTAAGTTTAGTTAGGAACTTCTAGAAAATGAGTCTCTAAAATTCCCTATTATTTCTAGAACACTTGTAGAATTACTCATTTATTCAGTTCAATATATTTTAAACTAAATAAATACATCATGTTTACTTAGTAAGAGAGGCTGATGTAAGTTCCTTGAGTATAAATGACTCTTCAGTTAATGAGTTTTTTTTTTTATACAAGTCTATCTTTAAGGAATCAAATTTTTAAAAAAATTCTTAAATTCTTCTAAGGAGTTAAAAAAAAAAGATAAAGTCAGCTAAATAATACAGATAATTCAAGTCCCACCATTCTGGTAATTTGTCCAGCTCTTTTAGTCTACTCCAACTACAACACAGAGTTCAGAAAGGTCAAACCCATCCACTACCCTTCACTCCTTCCCCAAAGAGATTATAAACTAGGTAAACCCGAGTCCTCTCCATATAGAACTGATACATTCAAAAGTGAGAAACATTGATGTTACCTCTCCTTCGCCCATAAGTCCTTGCTGCATGTCAAATGAGAAGAAAAAACAAAAAAACAAACAAAAACAACCTTTCAAACATTGTCAAAGAATCCACTGAGATTTCATCTATGAGCTTTTGAAATGGAAAAAGAAGGCCACATTCCTCATTTCCTGGTCTATGCATCAAAAATCAAGGATATGGACAGTTGTGATCAGTTTCATGCATTTTAAAAAAGAACTTCAAAGATACCATAAATCTTTACTGAACTTCACTTGTTTTACAGGAAACCTTTGGCTGTAGTTATCATCCAAGGGCCAAGACATTATGAAGCTAAGGCTGTGTGCAACATGATCTACACCAATTACCACTGTGTTAATTATATTTCCAAGCTAACAATTTAATAAACATATCAATATTGAATTCATGACTTTTCATCATTACAGAATACTTATTTTATAGTAATTTTCTGTTCATTTAAAATAGAAGATAATCATAACAAATGAAAATTTTAGGCAATTTATTTATTGGCTCTAGTCAACAGTTTTGTATTCTCAAACAAACAACAATCTACCACCAACAAAAAAACCCTTCTACCCAGTTCCAAATATTCAAAACTGAAGGTTTAACATTTTGTTACCAAATCATTTTAACATTTCCTGACCGCACAGTCTTGTTAAGCATAGTGGATAAAACAACCTGAGGCTTTGACCTCGGGGAACCTGTGTTCATATAGGCCACAGGGTCACATAGCTATTTGTAATGATAATGAGCCATGCCTATGGCTATAGTGACCTCTCTTTACCTCTGTTTCCATGATTTCAGTTACCAATGGTACATTTCAATTTGAAAATATCAAATGGAAAATTCCAGAAATACAATTTGTAACTTCTGAGTAGCATTATAGAACCTGGTACCTCCCTTTTCTATCATGTCCAAGATGCGGATCATCTCTCTGTCCAATGTGTTCATGTTGCATATGCTAACTGCCTATAGTCACTTCTGAGCTATTTTGAGAAAGACTATATTCATATAACTTTTATTACAGTTTAATTTAATTTGATTAAAATCAACAAAATTAAATTATTGTTGTCAATTTCTTACATACCTTATGTATAATTAAACTATTATAGGTATGTATGTATAGGAGAAAACATATAACACCATCATCAGTCTTGGGTGTCTTTGGGGAACACAGTTTTTGTGGTTATATAGCACATGCAACAGGGACAGAGGGGAATACCCTGTATGTAAGGGGGTGGTGAGAATGAAATATAGGTAAGATCTTAAAGGAAAAACAGGAGGAGTATTAGGATTGCCATGTCACAGAGGGCTGCAATGTTCAGGCAAAGAATGTAGCACAAGTAGGGTTTGGCTAGGGACTGGGTTTAAACAGGACATTAAGGTAGGCTCTTGCGTTAGATACCACTCTAAACACTGCCATGACTTTCACTCTCGTCTTCTAGACACAGCACAAATCAGTTTAACTCAGAACTAACAGGTGAGTATTTTGCAAAATAAAATTAGTTTTCATACCAAAATACATTTCTACCATTACTACATAGCTTTGGATTCCACTGAACTGCTGGAGTAAACGGACTAAAACAGTGCTAAGACTTTCCTTGAGGAAAGCCTGGTAGGTCTTCATTCCAGTGAGTTCAGTGTTAGCAGGTAAAGAGCTACTTTCCAACTTACCAGACAGAGGTTAGAAAGACAAATGACATCACAAAAGTGGGTGTCTGCTTTTATAAATAGAACATTCTATTTAGACAACCACTTCAAAGACAAAGGAGTTTGGGGAAAAGAAGGACTTTGAGGGGGCTGGAGAGATGGCTCAGTGGTTAAGAATACTAGTTGGACTTCCAGAGGTCCTGAGTTCAATTCCCAACAACCACATGGTAGTTCACTACCATCTGTAATGAGATCTTATGCCCTCTTCTGGCTCGCAGGGATAAATGCAAATAGAACACTGTATACATAATAAATAAATAAATCTAAAAAAAAAATTAAAAAGAATGACTTGGAGATCTAAGTTCTATCTTAATAAGTAGATTGATGCTACTTCAACTTCTGAGAAAGGAGATATTTGAAAGAGTAGCTTTTAAAAGCTACAAAGCCAAATGAAAACTCTCACATGGCTTCCATTAAAAAATAAATTAACAAAGCCCCAAAGCCTTCCAGAACAGCAAGAGCTATAGATAGATAGCTAAAATAAAGTATCTGCAAAAACTTCAAATGTGAATTTTCAGTTTTTATTTGTGCACCACAAAATTAATGTACAGATATTTATGGTTAAATTCCAGGATTAATGTCTGCAAACTAATCAGATACCTTTTCCCATATTAAGGGAAAATTGGCTGCAGTTGCATAGTGCTTACAACTATTAAAAACTTTAAGAATCAAACAGAAAAATCGGTGTAAACTAGTACTGAAAAATAATGGTTTGTGGAACTTAAAAATGACAATGTATTTTTTATTTTCACTTAATATTTTGTACATGTGTGTATGTGAATTTTGACATGTGACATATATGGAAAAGTAAAACTGTAGCTTTGATGAACATGCAAATACAAACAGAATCTATGTAGTAATTAAATGCTAAATGCTGCCTCCCTATATTATATAAAGATATACTAATACCCTTTCCCCACTGACTCCAAGTTATATTTGGAATACACATTGTGATGAAATACTTGCAACACAGACTTTCCAGGGGAAAATGTCACACAGATTTCTAATTTCTTGAGTAGAAAGTATAGTTTGTCATTTTGTGTTTTGGGAACACTAAGGGAGTGACAAGGGGCAAAATTCACATAGACATACATGTTTTGGAAAAGTTCTAGTTAAGTCAGCTGAAGTACACTATGTTAAGAATTCCCCAAAGTGACTAAAGTGTCTGCTGTTATGATTTATTAGATACATGCTTGTTTTGTTAAGTTAAAGCCTCCCCAGTCTCCATTAGAGTTAAAATGAATACTATTTGTATGGCCCTACCTTTATTTTTATTGCTCACTTGGGCTTACAGAGTCTCCAATGATTTAATGTTCAGAACTACTAACAAGAGTCAAGAATAGTAAAAGTATGCTTGAAACATTGTGGTCACAGATGTCTATAACTTCTGGATCCATGTTATCAGTTCTATTAATAAGTGCTTCATTTCTAAAACACCTCTACAGGACTGCCTACAAATGTTTTTCTTATCAGCCTTATATTCACAGTCAAATTCCCGCTAGTAAAATATCTCATTAGTTTGTGGGCTAGAATGCCAAAGAAGGTACAGAAAAATTGTTCTCTCTCTCTTTGAACATATTTCATTATAAAGGTGAGTTTCTATTTGTTTCTTAAAAAGCATCCTTTTTTTTCATTTCAAAATATCCACATCAGGATATATTCATAAAGAGAAAACAACTATTATATGGCCCTTTTTAATGTGTGCAAATA